TGGTTATAACTTTTATCTTTCTGCATTCTTGTTTTTACTTTTATTTTTAAAGTTTCAATGGTAATTGACGCTAAATTTGTGTGATAAATGTTCTTTTTTTGTTTTTGTTTTTAAAATAAAGTTTTGTTTATGGGAATGGAATCGTTGTGTGAGGATGTTTTTTATTTTTTCAACTGTCAAAACGAAAGATGCTGTTTACTTGGAACAGGTCAAATCAGGCTCTTAGAGCAAACAAATTTGTACATTCATTCAACTTTATTGTTTAACAGATTCTTTGTATTTGTCATTGCTATAAAATGTATTCAATTTATTTACAGCAACAATAAGTTTAATTATTCCTTAATTGGCAATAAAATGTTACAATTTAAAATCTGAAGGAAAGCAACAAAGGGGGATAGAAACATAGAAAAAACTATATTCAAAAAGTTGCAATAATGTACAGCGAGAAAGTGAATTGTTGAATATTTTGAATCCATTTTAACAAATTATACAAACGATAAAAAATGAAGATGGGAAGAAAAACAAAAGGTGAGTTTTAAAGTGGTAACTGTTGAGTGTGATTTTTTTTTTCATCAGTATTTTTTGATCGTTGATTTTAAACAAGAAAGAAAATGAGGGACGTAAAAAAAAAAAAAAAAAAAGCACTAAACGGGTAAGTGAATGGTAATTGCAACCTCCTTCTTCCACCTCGCCAACAGCCACTGTAAAAGCTATGAAAAACCGGTTATTTGAAGAAGCATGAAGATTTTACAGAATTTTCATAACTACAAATTTTTTTTTATAAGTGTTATTAATAGTCGATTTTCGATTTGTTTCATACGGTTTTTATTATTACTGCTGTTGCTGTTTGTATTTCATTCCTCTGTGCTTACTGAATGGAACTTAAACAAAGTGGTTCTTTTTTTTTTTTTGTAAATAACTGTTAAAGACTATTTTGTTGACAACATAAATGTTTTTATAGCGGAAAAAAATAAAAAATTTTATTTATTTATATTAAAAGTTTGGAAGAATTTTCTATTTTTTTCATTTTTTTTTTTTTTGTAAAAAAGAAGTTTTACTTTACTAACTAAATTTGTGCTAAAAAATTTAGTGTTTATTTTGATGATACTTCTTTATTTTTTTTTTTTTTTTTGAAAGTAAACCATACAATTTTTGCTACTTAATAGTAACAGTTCAATTAATTTTTGTATGATTCCTTTTTTTTTAAAAGCATTTTCAAAAAAATTAATAGTAAAATTATCAAAAAATAAATTTTTTTCATTTTCAGCAATTATAATTTGAAATATAATTTACGTATCTGTAAGGAACAAGTTTCAAATTTCCAGTCTGCTAAAAGCGCTAATTGTACGTTTAATTCAATTAGACTTTTATATGTCTTTGAAAGGCTATATTTTCTTTTACAGTTGACTAGCAAAATAGTAGCAAAAAAAAAAAA